TAAATAATATGATTTCACAATTAATATGTTATACTTATAATATATTAATAAATCACAAATAACCTCTTTCTCAAACATCCTTCCTAACAAATTGCTTTGATGAATGCAACCCAAATGGACCATGCTACTATCGGGTCAAGTACATACCAATTATAGTTATGGGCTTAGACACCTTTTCCAACAGTTTTTCTATCATAAACATAATAGAAAATAACAGTGTGGGTAATTTGGGGTATACTTTCTTGCTCCGGCTTATCAGATCGCATCCTTCCTTTTTTACTTTATAAAACAATTTTTGAAAAAATCAGTTTAAAAACTTTTGTAGTTCCCTAGTTTGACTATAGATTCACATGAATGTTCATCCAATTAACTCAAATCAAGGCTCTGTTACCAACTTGTAACACTCAATAAAATCTCAAAAAAAAATTAAAATTTTCAAAGATAAACCAATCATCATCATTGTTTACAAAATAGTCATTGTTTTCAAAGTATTATTTCAAATTAAAGCTTTTCCCCAAGATCCAGTAACAAAATAGGAAGCTGTGTACGATCATGCATTCGCCTTCCCACGATCCTCGGAAGTACCTGAAACCACAAACTAAACTGTAAGCCAAAACTCAATGAGTTCCCCCAAGGTACCACCACACAAATGTATAATCAAACAGATAACGGGTCCACAACCTACTAGTTGGATTACCCATTGGCTCACAACCTTATGATTGGAATGCCCAATACATAACAAGTCTACAACCTCTTGGTTGGATTACCCCCGACTCACAACGTTTTGGTTGGAATGCCCCGGGCCACAACCTTATGATTGGAATGCCCCGGTGTGTTGAATTACAACACAAAGCAGTACAGTCTCAACCCCACCATACCATGTCAACATGCACATAACAATTAACATATAACCAACAAAAGATAATCATCTAACTAGTTAATAGACTAGAAATAAGATCTACCGATTACTACTATATAGCAACATCCTAGATACCAGGATACATAACCAAAAGGGGCTGACATTGGTGCCTTCGATGCACAAGAAAAGTGAGGAAACTCACCTCACAATCTGAAGAATAGTTGAACAAGATATTGCTCCAAATACTGGCTCTACAGGTCACCTATTCAACAGATAGAGACCAAGGCTTAACTATAGCTCAAAATACCTAAAATACCCTTAAGTCAAACTTGGTCAACCCATGTCAAAGTCAACGGGTCAAGGACTCCACTTGGTCCACTCAGCTGAGTACCCGCGTACTCAACTTGATCCTACGTTAGGCATAATCCTGGCTTGACCGAGGTCGGGAGTTTGACTGCATACGCGCAGTGTACGTTAGGGTACACACAACGTACTGCCAGAATCTTCTTGTCTTAATAACAACTTAATGCAATAAGCTCTTACGTCCAAACTTCATATCCAAGGCTAAAATACCACTAAGAGTCATAAAATTTCCAAATTTATGACTTTTCATGTCCATTAAGTGCTTAATACACAAAATCCCAACATCTTAATGCCTTAAGACCTTCTAGAGCATGCATAGAGAAAAACTAAGCATTAAGACCATATTTTTATGACTCAAGACCCCTCTTAAGGTATGAAAGGACGACTTATTTGGTTAAGAGCATGGCATGCTTAAGAATCACCATATTTGGGACCAAAAGTGCCCTAAATAAAGAAATTGATAGATCTACATGATAGGGTGATCAAGTTATGAACTTTTTACCTTCTGGAGGTCGCTAGGAAGGAGATAATATCATATCCAAGTTGCTTCCAAGCTTCAAGCTCTTCTCACCGCCTTCTTCTTCTTCAAGAATGCCACAAAACACAAGGATAAGCTCAAGATGCACTCTTCTCACTTAGGGTTAGCTTGGGGGTCGTTTCTCTCAGATGGAGGCTAGCGAGGGAATGAGAAATGAGAGATAATGGTGCTTAAGTATGGACAAAACCCTAAAAAATAGGGTTTGAAGTTTTACCGTGTACGCCTTGCGTACACGGTGTACGACCAACGTACTAGGGTCCGCCCAGCATACACAACATATGCTCGGCGTACTAACTTCCATGCCAAAATTACCGAAATGCCATTATGGGCCATTCTTGCAATCTTTTTGAACCCAATGTTCAAAATGCAATGTTCTTTCGTACTTAAGGTTAAAATTAAAAATACCTCAATATCGGGATGTTACAGTAACCCTAATTACGGGTTTTCACATTAATAAACAAATAACAAGACTCTTTGCATACTTGATAACGGAAAAGTCATTATTTTTTAAATATAAAATAGCATATTATCGTGTAAAATCAATCAATCGAGAACTTCAATAAAAATATGACTTTTCTATAAAATAAAAATGGGAAATCTGCGAAAAAGTCCCAATATTTTAGACCAGTTTACGATTTAGTCCCAAATTAAATTTTGTTTACAAAAAAGGACAGATTGCCGGCTAAAACTTTGGATTAACCCTTCGTGGCCGGTTTCACAGATTTAACCGGTATCTCGTCTTTTTTCGTTAATTAATCCAAATTTTGGGGCTTTTTCATTAATTAATAAAAAATTTAGGGCTTTTTCATTATTTATTACCAATAAACCAAAATATTTGGACTTTTCTGAAGATTACCTTTAAACTAATATATATTATATGATCTAATTTAATATGTACTATTCCATATCTTCTTTCTTATGCTCTTCTAGGCTCACCGTGTGTTTTTATCGGTGTCGTCAAACCCAACAAAAAAAGTCTCACTCATAAGCCTCGTTAACTCCATCAATTTTCCAAAATTATCCATTCACAACTCTATGATCATCTTTCAATCTCCAAATAAAGAACGGAGAAAATCCTTGTTGATTACGTGGATGTCCCTATTACCTAACCATGACTTAAACCGTGGTTCCAACACTTAGATGTTCCTATTACCTAACCATGACTTGAACCCATACACTAATGGCGTTGTCCATAGTGTTGTTAAAAATAAAAGTCGAATCTCACATGTTCAACCACTGATACATTGACTCAAGTCTTACTTGACCCTTGTCTCCTTACAAAACTATAGAAGCCCCAACATAAGATGAATCCCACATGGTTCATCATTTATTGGTTTTTTTTGTCAAAAAGTAAAGCATTTTGGAAGCCCCAAATAGACTAAAACGTAATAATGACAATTATTGTAATATCACACCAATTGTCATTATGACTTAAACGTAACATCACAACAATTGTCATTATTACATTTTAGTCTATTTGGGGCTTCCAGAATGCATTACTTTTTGGCAAGACAAAAACCAATAAATGATGAAGTTTTTGATAAAGATCGGAACACAATCTTATTGATGGATCCAAGAGCTCCTTCTCGTCCCAAGCCTTTTTCTCCTCAATCTTCTTCCAAAAAATACACTACAATATGCAATATTAGCCCCTATTTCTCTCCTACAAGCATATAGCTCAATTAGGGTTTCTCTCAGAGTGTTAAGATGATAAGGGAGGCGGAAATGAAGGCTTAAGGTCCTTTAAATAGGACACAAACCCTGAAAATTAGGGTTTTCACACTCAGCTCCTACTCGTCGAGTTGGGGTCCTCCAACTCGTCGAGTAGACTCTAGAAATTACGTGACCATTAACACTCTCTACTCGGCGAGTTAGGGCCTCCAACTCGTCAAGTTGATAAGACAACAAGAATATAAATTAATTAAATATTATACCTGAGAGTCGGGATGTTACACCTATTGTAAGGAAACAAGGGTCAAGTAACACTTGAGCCAAGGTATCAGTGGTTAAACCATGTGGGATTCATATTGTGTTGTTAACAAAACTATGGACAATGCCATTAGTGTATGGGTTCGAAATAAGGTTCGAGTCATGGTTAGGTAATAGGAACATCCGAGTGTTGGAACCGTAGCTCGTAGGTATACCAAATTAATATTTTAATAGTTTATGATGGATAGCATGTTGACATTTTTTTACAATTAGAGTTAACATTCTTCATGGTTTTCAGTACATAATATCAAGTTGATTTTTTTTACCTATGTTGAGTTTTTTAAGCTTAATGGTTCATTCTTCATGGTTTTCAAGCCCTATTGTAAGGAAACAAGGGTCATGTAAGACTTGAGCCAAGGTATCAGTGGTTAAACCATGTGGGATTCATATTTTGTTGTGAACAACACTATGGACAATGTGAATAGTGTATGGGTTCGAAATAGGATTCAAGTCATGGTTAGGTAATAGGAACATCCAAGTGTTGGAACCACGGTTTAAGTCATGGTTAGGTAATAGGGACATCCACGTAATCAACAAGGATTTTCTCCGTTCTTTATTTGGAGATTAAAAGATGATCATAGAGTTGTGAATGGATAATTTTGGAAAATCGATGGAGTTAACGAGGCTTGTGAGTGAGATTTTTGTTGTTGGGTTTGACGACACCGATAAAAACACACGGTCAGCCTAGAAGAGCATAAGAAAGAAGACATGGAATAGTACATATTAAATTAGATCATATAATATATATTAGTTTAAAGGTAATCTTCAGAAAAATCCAAATATTTTGGTTTATTGGTAATAAATAATGAAAAAGCCCTAACATTTTGATTAATTAATGAATCCCCAAAATTTGGATTAATTAACGAAAAAAGACGAGATACCGGCTAAATCTGTGAAACCGGCCACGAATGGTTAATCCGAAGTTTTAGCCGGTAATCTGTCCTTTTTTGTAAACAAAATTTAATTTGGGACTAAATCATAAACTGGCCTAAAATATTCAGACTTTTTCGCAGATTTCCCAATAAAAATAATAATAATAAAACTTTACTAACAAAATCCCATAAATATATTTCAGAATCATAGTTGAACAAAATCAAACAAAACCACGAGACCAAAAGTCCAAAACCACATAATAAAATATTAACAATCATTTCGCGTGCAAATTTTTTATTTTTGTTGGTCGGTAATTACGGAAAGGTAGATCACTCATTAAAATTTGTTGAGAATGACACCACCCATGTGACAAAATCCCTTTAATTTCAATCGCTTCCCGTTCGTCCTCTACAATCATGAGTTCTCCAGTGGCTCATTTTGGCACGTATGACGTCTTTCTAAGCTTTAGAGGCGAAGATACTCGAAATGCTTTTACAGATCATCTCTATGAGGCATTAGTGCAAGCAGGACTTCGCACTTTTAGGGATAATGATGAAATAGATAGAGGTGAAGAACTGAAGCCTGAGATCGATAGAGCAATCAAAGAATCGAGGGCTTCAGTAGTTGTCTTATCAGAGAACTATGCAACTTCCACATGGTGCCTTGAAGAGCTTTGGTTGATTCTTGAACAAAGGAAGAAGTGCAATCACTATGTTCTACCGGTGTTTTATCACGTTGATCCTTCAGATGTAAGGAAACAGAGTGAGCCTTTCAAGATAAAAGTCAATACCTCGCCAAAGTGGACTGATGATAACGTGAATCGGTGGAAGGCGGCCCTAGCGAAGGTTGCCGATTTGACTGGTCTGGTTCTTTCAGGGTATGTTTCTTCGTTATTTTCCAAATACATTTCAACTGGTTCCACTCGAATACAATTTTATTGAGGAACTTGCCATGCGCCGTAGTGGTTTAAGGGGGTTGTTTGTTTGCCAGTTGAACAACGATCTAAACCTATGAATTGCTAAGTGTCTTTGTTGTTTGTTAGTGAAGCTTGGAGAAATGACTCTAGTGAGATTTTACAATCTTTTAAGAAACAAACCATAAATGTTATATGTTGAACTTGTTGGATTGTTGTCTTTAGTAAACAAGTGTTTGATTATCTTAGTGTTTTGCTGTTGCCAAATTACTCTGTTACATAACGTTCCCATGCTTAGCATTTGGACAAATGTGGATATTGAAGCATGAAATCTGGCATGGTTGTGTGGCTTCTGATCGGAACCCACATAATCCTTCGTGTCATGTAAAAAGACACAGTCATGCCACTACTAACTATCTAAACGTTGACCTTTTTCTACAGTTTATTTGACCTGTGGTTGACAGTTGATTTTCGGAGGAAAATAATTATGTAAAAATTTTTATAACTCCCAAGAGTGTATAAATTGGAAAAATGAAGTCAATTTTTCTCTTATAAGCGTAGGTTTCTTTCAGGATTGTTTTGTTCTCTGCTCTCTTTCCCTCCAAAAATATAGACTGAAAGAAATTATTCTTCCTTTCCATTTCTCCTTTAAATCATAAAAAGTAAAACAAAGATGTTCATGGGGGATTTCAGGAATGCTGTGTATAATTCTAATCAGGAGGAATCTTGGGACTAATCTAGCTCGGTGAACCACGGGTTTTTGTAGTGGAGCTTTGATTCCTTAAGCATCTCATCCTTCATTTGTTGTCTCATTTGTGTTTTTTTCAGTTGTTTTAACTTACCATCAGACATTTCTTATGTTCTTTTTTTGTTACAGGCCTGAAACACAACTTTTGAAGGATATTGTTGATATTATTTATAATAAACTTGATTGCAAACAAGTTTATCTTCCATCGAATTTAATAGGGATGGAAACTCGGGATAAGGAGATAAATTTCTGGCTAAAGCAATCTGATGCCGAATTTCTGGCAATCTGTGGGATGGGAGGAAGCGGGAAAACAACGTTGGCCCGATACATTGTGTACTCAAATTCCCAAAACTTTGAAAGCGTTAGTATTGTCGAAGACATCGGAAGTAGATGTAAAGAACCACATGATTTGCTTCAGTTGCAAGAAAAACTTTTTAGAGATATTTCAGGAGGCAAGAGGAGGAAAATACCCAGTGTTAGTCAAGGTACATTCAAGATTGAAGAGGTCTTACAAGTGAAGAAGGCACTTATTGTTCTTGATGACATTGTTGAACCGAGCCAGTTGGTAGGTTTATTTGGATCCGCTTACATTAACAAGCAAAGCAAGATAATTATAACAACTAGGGAAAATAATATTGGTAAATGGTTTGAGTCCAGACCTTGGAGGTGTCAAGAGTACCAAATGAAGTTACTAGATGATAATGAATCATTAGAGCTTCTAAGTCGACATGCCTTTGGATCCAAACGTCTGATGGAAGGTTATGAAGAGCTTGCAAAACAGGTATTGCAGTATTGTGAAGGAAATCCATTGGCTCTTGATGTTTTGGGTACCTTGCTAGCAGAGGATAATAGCATCCTATTTTGGAAAAGTACATTGAGCTTATTGGGAAGAGATATTGATTCTGGAATTAAACGTGTACTGATTAGGAGCTACAACTCTTTGCCACATGACTCTAACAAACAGTTGTTTTTGCATATTGCTTGTTTCTTTGTTGGCAAAGACAAGGATTATGTGGTGAAGATATTAGAGCCTGATTACTCTGCAGTATCTGGGATTAAAACTCTAACCAACAGATGCCTTTTATCCGTTTCACTAAACAACAAGCTAATGATGCATCCTTTGCTTCAAGAGATGGGGAGAACAATAGTACACCAAGAATCACCAAAGGACCCTGCAAAACGCAGTAGAGTCTGGCGTAATAAGGATTCTTATGATGTTTTGCGAAAAGGAAAGGTGAGATGCCTTTAATGTTTATGTTGAAGCTTATTTTCTTTTTCACACCCTTCAGTTTTGTCTGAGATTTAATCATCCATTCTCTTCTTTTTTAATTAGGGTTCTGAAACACTGGAAGGTCTAGCACTTGACATGAAAATGTTGACCGAAGAAAAGATGAACCATTCACTCACGGTAATATATAAAACAAGTAAAACTAAGGCCTGATCTTGATATATATTCAAAAGAAATTATGATGATTTTTTTAGCTAAACATTATTTCTACATTATTAATTCTAGATATGAGGTATGCTTACTATCTCTTTATGGTAAATTTGTAGTCATTAGACCTCAAGACGGATTCTCTAAAAAAGATGGACCACCTAAAAGTGCTCCAGCTTAATTTTGTGCATCTCACTGGATCCTACGAAAATGTTTCTGAAGATTTAAGATGGCTCTGCTGGATTGGGTTTCATAAAAGAATCATACCTCCCAACTTACTCATGGCAAGCTTGGTAGCCATAGATATGAGCTCTAGCAACTTGGAAGCATTCAATCCACCCATTGTAGGGAATTGTACATCCTCTATTTACCTCTTGTCCTTTTATAGGCCCCGTTTGTTATACATGCCATGACATGACATGTTATGACGTGACATGATATGACATGAGATGACATCTTATGACATGACATGATATGACATGACATGAGAACAGAACACAACACATGTCTTATTGTGTTTATCATGCATTGAACTTTTGATGGTATTAAGGTCAATAGGACGAAAATTGCAATCTTTTGTCCCACGAAAAAGGTGGAGTAAGGTGGGACAGGGAATCGTTCCCAGTCTCTCGTTTGTGCAAAAGACGTGAATGCCCCTTCTCATCCTCATCATCAAGAATACCCTAAAACATTTGTCTAGTCCCGTTCAGTTGAGTCCACTTGTGTATAACAAATGCAACCTTGACTTCCAGATTGTTTATGCCCTTTATGGCAATATACCGTGCTAAATAAATCCTTTCACTTTTGCAACAGGTTCTTCCATTACTACAGATTCTAAATCTTAAAGACTCTAACAATCTATTGTTAATTGACAATATTTTCAGACTCCCTAAGCTGGAGACTTTGATTCTTGGGAATTGTAAAAGTTTAGTTCATGTTTGTGAAACCATTGGAGGCCTTACAAGTCTTGTTTTACTGGATATCACTGGGTGTAAACGCTTGCGCAAGAAAGTAAATCTGTTAGCAGGGACAAATGCGACTACTTCTGGTGGTGGAATTACAGAACAACCTTCCTTTTTTTTGCCACGTTCAGTGCAACGGCTATTCCTTAAGGACTGCAACCTAAAAAATAACTTTTCTTTTCCTCTGAGCTTCAGTTTCCAACCTCTCTTGCAGTACTTGAATCTCTGCAATAACCTATTTGAATTCCTTCCTGATTACAGTCATCTTAAAAATCTCCGGGTGCTTGACTTGAGTTTATGTTCCAGACTTAAAAGCCTCCTATGTCTCCCGAGTACACTTGCAGAATTGTATACATATTATTGCAAGTCACTGGAGAGAATAACTTTCCAATCACCTCGATTCACATTGCAAGAATTTGGCTACCAAGGTTGTATAAATTTGAATGAAATTGAAGGCTTTATCAAACTGATACCGATAGCCACATTGAAAGGAACAGACTTGGGGCATATGAAGTGGCTAAAAGAATATCAAGATCATGAAGTTCGCTTGGTTGGTGATGATGAGCTGACCATAGGCAGAAGTTGGCAAGTCCAGGTTCGTGTTCCTCTCTTTAACCCCGTCTGTTACATAAGACCAGACAAGAGGCCTTGTTTAGTATGTGGCATGCATTGGAGGACTGGGCTGGACCGATGTCAATGAGAAAAATTGCAATACTTTGTCCCATTCATAAAGATGGACAGGGACACACTCTCGATCTCACTTCTGTGCAAAAGATGCAAATGCCCTCCTCATCATCGTCGCCCAAAATAGCATTAGAAATCTTGTCAAAGCTTTCTGGTGTTATTTGTTAATGGGGTGAGGACATCCATTCCTTCTGCAAAGATGAGAGATTGAAAACAAGTCCCTGCCCCCACCTTTTTCATGTTGGATAAACAGTTGCAACTTTTGTCCATTTGACATCAGTATTTGCAGTCCGAGTATAATGCACGCCAAAGACGGTGCTTCTGTAAGTTTGGTCCCGTGTATTCTTTAATTGGCTGCAACACCGATAGCTTGGAGAGTTGGGTAGTAGGATTGTGGGCAATTTTCTGTGGTATTAAATTCTCAAAGACTTCTACTTCTAGTGAGAAAAGAACCACAAAAGTAGCAACTAATTATCTCTACTAGAAAATAGGAATTAATGGCCAACATGGCCTTGATTCCGTCAATAAAAACAAACTTCCCCATGATTCTCATATTTCGGTTTCCTCCAACAGCCTAAGGACATGCTTGAGCACACACAAGCACAATGAAATACCACCTGCAAGCTGATCATATATGAACGACTAATGATTAAACTCTATTGCTTGTCAGCACAGATGTTGTATGAATTTAATATAAGGAGCACATCTCTGCCACACATAGAGTCTCCAAACATGAGACCTGAGTATATATCAAAATCGTCATCTTTGTCCTTTGAAGTTCCTTTTACACCTAAGAACAGGACGCTCAAAGGATTAGATGTAACATTCAGATATAAAATATCAGGAAATGACTGTGCATGGTTTGCTAAAATCAGCACGACCAATGATGTTGATTTCATATACAACCCGAAAGTATTTGGCGATCCTGGATTTGGTGAAGTTGGTGTATGGTTAAGCTATTGGCCAATTGGAAACACATTAAATGCTGGAGATAAAGTTAATGTGTCTATTGATGTCATTAGCGGATTGGAGGTATACGAATGTGGTGCAAGCTTTGTATATATTAATGATGGCTTAAGGTATGAAACTTCTGAAAATGATATGGAGGGGGTTGAAAATCTTGGAAATCTGTCGGACTTTCGGCTGAGCTCAGGATCATACTATCTTTGTCGACGTGATTTCTTTGAGTTAATGGAGGTCGGCAGACTCCCACGTGGTTGGTTTAGAAATATAATTGGTGATACGGTTGACCATACAGGTAAATCATTCAAGTTAAGCTAATTTTGGGTGTGTGTTTGTTTGTTTTTCTTAGTACATACATAGTTATTGTCTTTTCAATGAAGTGTCTCATTTAAGTCATTTGGTAAAAAGTAGTTTGACCTTCGGTCATTTTATCTAATACAATAATATTCAACTTGCCCTGGAGCCTAGTGGTTGGGGTGAGGAATTCCACACACGAGATCCAAGAAACCGTGGCACACTAAAAATATTGATAGTGTTCTGCGGTTGACCTCCCACGTGGACCCGGACCAGGTTGATGTGGGCCGTTCAGATGATACGGTTTACTATAATATTTAACCATATACAGTAAAGAACGTTCCTAAGGTCACAATTGTTACAGAGGTACGAGGATGGAGCAATACTGGTCGACCTAAGAAGTTGAACCCGTCATTTACGGAGTTCAAAAATGTTAGTTGCATCATCCATGGTCCTGAAACGGTAAGTATGCTATGTTAAATATCTTTTTGCTATGATTTTATTACATGAACTTGATATGTTGTTTTGTTTTTACTTGATGGGCTTAATGAGACAGAACTTAATCCAACAAGCTATATGTGGGCGTTTCTTACTGATTTGGTGTAATTAACCGCAGACTCTTTTTGCATTAAGTCCTTTCTTTCAATAATCTTGACCTCTTTTATGTTTTCCTTCTATTTCCCCAAGTATGTCGTCATATTCTTTGTCATCATTTATCTGGACAATAATTTACTACTTTATCTGGACAAGACTTGATGGGACACGAAAGAAACTAGGCCTTAGATGGTTTTATGAAGGCTCTATATGCATTATTTGCTAAATTGTTATTCTTTGGTTTAGTCTTTGTAAACTGACGCCAAGTTGGTCGAAAATAATGTCATAATCAACTTTTTTTAACCTCAATTTCGTATTTATTAAACAACCAGGAGCAAGTTTACAAGATTCCAAAGAACCCTAAATCACTATTTGTCAATAAAGCGATGGAGTTCACATCAAGCATGTAATAACCTTCTTTATTGATCAACAAATTACGAGGTAATGAATGAACGATGATGTGAAATATGTTTATGTTATGGTGGTGACTCGGCTGAAATTAAATAGATTACAATGTTAAATTCAATTTTGATATGGATCTGTGCTTTTGCAATGACACATAGTAATGTATGACGATTTGATAAAACTTGTAGAATCGTTTAAAATCATTAATCATTGATTTTTATGGTAATTGTGTAAACATTGAAACAGATACCATCACTTACAAAAAGGATAGTTAGTTGTACATGGGAGCTGAGATGAGGATATGTTATCACGATCAAGTTTGCATCTGGGAGAGCATTAAGAAGGGGTAAGTAAAAAACGAGTGTTGCTACCTTGGAATGCTTATGTTAAGTTGTGGAGACTAGTCAACCCTTTGACCTTATAGTTGTAGGCAGACCAAGTTTAGGGCAAATTTATCAGAGTCTATGTCTTGACCTTATTGACAAATTTTCGGTATTATGCCATCTTTATATAGATCCCTTGAGTTCATGTAATCTACGACAAGTAAGAAAAATTGTAATTCGGTAGTGTCAATAAAATCTCTCTATTTTGTTCTCTTGTGGACGAAGTCGATCACTCTAATCGTGTAAACTACGTTAAATACTATGTTTTTGTTTCTTCGTATGCATTATTATTACTCTAAGTGTGAAATCATTTTATCATTTATTGAAGTGCTTAAACCCAAACAACTTGTATATGGTATTAGAGCCAAGATCCATGACAGAAGATGAGAATGTTAAGATCAAAAAATTGAAGGTCACGATTTTAGGTTTAGAGAATGCAGATCGAAGAATACATTTACTAGAAGAAGTTACACGTACTCTTGGCTGAAAAAAATGGCCTGAAAAAAAATATAGCTTATAATATTGTCAATAAGCAAACTATGAATGGCCTTAAAAAGGCACTGTCCACTATGTTTGAAAAAAACCGCAACATCAAATAAGATTATATTGATCCAACACTTGGTTAACACAAAGATGAAGGAAGGAGACTCGGTGTCATGTCACGTTAATGAATTTCATTCAATCATATCAAAGGTTGGTTTTGGTTGATAATAAATTTGAAGATGAAGTCCATCCCCTGTTATTATTATCATCTCCACTTGAAAGTTGATCGTGTGCCGTGGCAATAGTTAGTAGTTCGTCTAAAACCTCTAAGTTGATATTTGAAGGCATTCACGACTAGATCCTTGGAGAGGATATTTGCTAAAATAAACATTAAAGAAACACTTAATAGTCTTTTGAGCACAACAAATTGTGGAAGAAAAACCAATAGAGGAGGCACAAGTAGAAGAATATCAAAATCGAGAAAGAAGATTAGTCATATAGTAGAAATGATATTACTTGTTGGAATTTCAGGGAAAGTGGTCAATTCATAAGTTAGTGCTCAAAACTCTCATTAGACAAATGCAAGAGGAAGATAAATGTGGTAGCATAATATGATAATGCAATTATTTTCTATGTTAAAAACGCAATAGAATCATGAATAATGGATTCAAGTGCATCGTTACATGCTAGTCATTCTAGAAGTGTAATGTGAACTTCAAACACTACAGTGGAAATGTTAGCCTGACAGACAATAAATACTATATAGCATAGGTGTTGGGGATGTTGTCTCAAGAAAACTTTGGTAACGAATTAGACCTTGAAGAAAATTAGGTACATTCATGATCCATATTATTTTTGGTGATCATCAGTGAAAGGTGACAAAGGGAAACAAGATACATTTTACATGGTGGAGGTTTATGAAGATGAAGCAAATATTGTAATACACGACACATGGGCACCTACTCTATTGCACGAAGAACTTGGTCATGAGTCAGAAATGAATAAAAATGCTATCCTCTAAAGGGAAGATACCAGATTTGAAGAGTACTTCATCTCAGATTAAGACATTTTAAAACCTATCAGTACTCCTGAGATAATGAAAGTTCTCAAACAATATTCCAAATCACATTTTTTTGAGCCTGAATCTCCACCATGCATGATCCAGCTGGACAAGGTTGAAAAATAAAAATGACAACATTCACCAAAGCGCTAAAATATAGAGGGCTTAGTTAAGATTACAAGTAGTAAATCATGCTTATAAGCACCTCAATTGCTGTAGAAAATACAACATTCACCAGATCATAAAATATTTTAAACCTAAACCTAGATTCACTGTGCTTGTCTTTAACCCATCTTCATCTTCATCCCCTTCGGACTCCTCTCCGTCGAAACCCTTTTCTTGATTTTAATTTTGTCCCCGAACTTGAATTCGTGTCCTTGATCTTTATTTTTACTTCATCTATAATTTTGATTTCATCCCTGAATTTGATTTTGACTTATCCACCTCTAATTATAAAAACCCAATTTCCTATCTCCTTACCTGATAACACCCAGGTATTTATTTTGCAACATTTTTCCTGATTCCAAGTGTATGATTTGCCAAATAAATACAGTAAATAACAGTACAGCTTTGATAACACACTTATTTCCATCTCAGTAGACATATTTGATATTAATTTCCCTTGCATCAACAGTAAAACCGATGAAATTTTTTTTTTTTATTAAAATTCGACTTTGAAATTGTGAACTCCTTGCTTTATGCGTTTCCTGTCGAATTGAGAACATGTATCAACATAAACATCCGATATGTAGCTTATAATATAGAATTATGTTTATGCTTTTTAATTTTCATTGGTCAGATACCTGTAACATATAATATTAAATTATGTCTATATTTCTTAATTTTCTTTTTTCTGATAAGCGTTATGTTATGACAGTCTGTCCTGATCAGTAACCGTTGATCTTGAGCCAAATATATAGCTGGTGGAACTTGTGGAACTTCGTCGTTTTTTTGCTGATGTGAATGCAGTTTCAACATCTGTGTTATGTTTTTTTGCAGGTCCAACACTTACGATTTTTGCAGTCTCGATCTTACTCACACAATTAACAGCATTCACAGGATCAAGATCCCCAATAACAGTTAGTCTCCCATCTTCTGTATCGACATGAATTGAGTGAATGCCCTGAAGCTCAGATAACGCCTCTATCACCTCCTGTTTTTGGGTTTGACTGCGTAAGTTGACTCCCAACACAATTTCCTGAAATGTACACCATAAATTTTCAAAGATATATATAGGACTGAATGTTAGCACTCAAAAAGAACTGTGGATGATAAGACCCACTGCATTGAGTAGTGGAGTGTGATATTCATGTTGCCAGTTGCTTGCTATTTTTCGTATGTTCTTCATAGACGAAGGGAAGGACATGTTGCCGGTTTTTGCTTACTTTTAGTTTTGTTGGTCAACAGTGTATTTTGGGTTTGGAAATGCATTTGTGTTCTTTGGTTGTTTTAGAATTACAACTCAAAAAGCTTTCTTGCTCTATTAATTTCTTGATTTGTAGCTGATGTTTCTTTTGTAAAGCCTATAAAGTAGGCTTAGTTTATCAATGAAGATATGGTTTTCCGCACCAGATTAAATGCTTTCTTGCTTTATTAGTTTCTAATAGTTCCATGTTTTTTTGGGAAATTATTTCAGAATGAGCTTGAATAAAAGAGTTGAAGCATTATTATGATGTGTTTGTGACATGAGGAAAAAGCAATACTTATATGTGAGGTAAGATTAAACTCATCACTTCTATCTACCAAGCATAATGCTGAATTTCCTTAATTTGCTACAGCAAGGAGAGAATCAACTAGTGCTCTAGATGTAAGTGGTCTTGATGCCAGGTCCACAAGTTCATGATCAACAGATATGTCCTCAAGCTGTTGGTTGTAAATTTGTGCATTGATTTCTAACACAAGGAAAAGTTAAACTCTTTCCTTTTATCTGCTAAACACAATATTCATACCTTTATTGTTGTGTCACTAGAATTGAACGATCTTGTAGATTTCATCGTCTTCCCAAGCATGCTTGATGGAAACTCCAAAGTTCTATCTACAAAAGATGATTTTGACATCTCTGGGATCTTGTAAATTTCCTCCTATGTGTTTTCCAAAAATACAATAGTCAGATTAGCAAAACCCAATTAAGTACACTACTAATAACCAGATTAGCATCAACCACCAAATGGTTAAACTATATTAAAATGGTTCGGTTAATCTGTTTGCTTATGTGAACTCATGTAACATTTGAAAACGAAAATAAAAAAGACACATTTCTGTCAAACCTAACACATGATAATGCAATTGGACTGGGTGAGAAGTGTATCAATACCAAGAGAGAGGGATATAGGCTAATGAATCATGAAAGCCATGGTGGCTAATAGTTTCATAGTATTATCAAGGTGTGTTCAAAGTGTATTCAAGGTGTGTTCTTTACCCAAAGATAATGGCCTATTTATAGGCTGATTACATAGAGATTACATAGCTGGACAAGACAGCTGTCCACTACACTATCTCCCTAGCTTTACACCACCCACTACACTATGTCTAATACTAGTTTCATCATCATAATATGAATACTCATATAAATACATTCTAATAATAAGTATATCAGTTGTTTTTGATTTATACACATATTATAGTAAGAATTGTTATGATATAAATAAATCACAATGACCCTATTCATCTTATACCAACTGCATAGGCAGTGTACAAGACAACTTTGTGGGCCCTTCACATTATTAAGGTAACGACTTTATGCAAAAGAAAAAATAAGGAAATATTACAGAGAAAATTTACCAATTCAGGACCATGGATGATGCATCTAACAGTTTTCAACTCTGTAAATGATTGATTCAACTGCTTAGGTCGGCCTGTTTTTCTCCATCCTTGTACCTCTGAAACAATTTGTCATAAGATAAACTTTCTCTATTTGAAGCATAAATCTAAGTACATATGCATAGAACTAGCTTAACAAAATGGACATACCTATAAAGTGAATAGTATCACCAACTAAATTTCTAAACCAATCAGGAGTGAGTCTGTCCACCTCCATTAACTCAAAGAAATCACGGCGACAAAGATAGTATGATCCTGTGCTGAGTTGAAATCCAGACAAATTTCCTCCAAGAATTTCCACCCATCCCTTGTTATTTTCCAATATTTCCTCAGCTACTTTATCATCAGTGTAAACAAGGCTTACACCACATCCATGTACCTCTAATCCACTCTTTACAACAATAGAGACATTTACTATATCTCCAACATTTAAATTGTTTCCAATTGGCCAATAGCTTAACCATATACCAACTTCATCAGAATCAGGTTTACCAAAAACTTTGGGGTTGTACATGAAATCAACACCATTGGTTGCACTGATTTTACAAAACCATGCACAATCATCACTTAATATTTTATATCTGAAAGTTACATCAAGTCCTTTGATCTTCCTGTTATCAGGATCTGAAGGCACGTTCAAATACAAAGACGAGAATTCTGAAACATACGTGGGCTTCATGTTTGGATCCTTTATGTCTGGCAGAGATGTGCTCATTATATCAAATTCATACAACATCTGTAACACACAAGCACTAGAATTCAGTCTCATATAATCAGTTTGTAGGTGGTATGTCAATGTGCTTATGTGTGTTTATGCTTGTGCTTGAAAGAGATTCAACTAACCTGGATACATGAACTTCTGCCTTTGGTGAGCTCAT